CAAATTTTATGACTTATTTTTAAATTGTAAATTTTCAATCAGTTTTCTTTTTCAGTTTTTCCTAATTCTATTTCTAGTTCTTATTTATTTAAATCTTTTAATTATGTTGTTATTATGTTTGATAGGTGCGTTTGAATATAATTCTGAGATTTCTATGCAGTTTATGGAATCTACAGAATCTATCCTTCATTAATTTTAATAATTTCCCTTGGATGTTCGCCCACCCATCGTTGAATGCTAAAATTATATAGCAAACGGAGAAATTCTCGATTTATACAAAGCTTTTGTAAACAGAATATCTGATTTAAGAAAATTTATTGGATTAATCTATAGCATATATGGAGTACAGATGAGCCTTGCAGCAATCGGATTTTTTTGAGTTCTTTATTCATGTCAGTAGTGGAAATTGAAATCGCTAGGAAATATAATCCAAGCATTCCACCATATTGCTCAAAATCGCAAGTCCACTAGTTCAATTATTTGTGTGTTTAGAAAAAACACCTGCTCGAAATTTATTCTATGGTACTGATATATAATTTATGATAGGTTGATTCTTTCACGCTATTTTATTATTCTAATAAGGATTAATAAGTATTAGTATAAAAGAATTTTGTATTTTACTATATGATCTACTTCCGACGACTTCTCTTTATTTTGTCTAAGGATGTAAAGACAGATTTAAGGAATTTATAAAAATAATATACAATCAATAATTTTTGCTAATAAAAGCATCCAAATTGCTGAGGAAGTTGTGTTCAATGGATGGTTAAGTAGCGAGGAAGGAAACTTAAGGAGAATAATAATTATTTTAGAGAGAAGCTCGAAAGAATTTAGTGATTGCAACTTATCATCGCCAGCTATGATATGAAAAATTAGTACTTCTATTACTAAAACAAGTTTTTTACAATGAAGTTTTTGGTACGTAATATTAGTGTTTGGTTCGATGCGTTATCACCCTTATGGTGGATTAAAGCATTCAAAAATTTCTAAAGGATTAGAAATTAAATGCAGCGATTTAATTTGTTATGTAGAAATAAAACCATTAGGTCGGAGACAAATGCTTCGGCACCTATAAATGAAGAAATAGCGAAATTTCTTAAGAATGCAATGAGAAAAATTTGAATAGCGTGGAATTGTGATTTTTTCTTTTTTTATTGAACTTTAGAGAGGAGAATATATTTGCAAATTTATTTAATGTTGCTGTTGCAAAAATCAGTCGCCGAAACAAGAATTATTCATGAATGAGAGATGGGGAAAGAAACTCTCCCGAACGTTTACCGCTTAAGATAGGCAAAACAACTTAAAAGGCCAAAGTGCTAAATATATTGGTCGCTGAAAAAATTGTCGAAAGGTTTTCGTAAATAAAAGGAGAAACGATAAAAGATTTCCTATTTCTCGCAAATACCCAAATTATTAAAAATTTCTACTTTATAGTTTTGTAAATCAAAAGATAGAAAAATTTTTCCTACCGAAAGAAATTCTTTAAAATTTTATATGCATTTAGCGGATTTTTTTACAACAGTTCTGTTATTTTTTTATAAATAATAATAAATAAAAAATAATTAGCAACACTCTCAGAGTTCGAAGAGTTTTAGCGGCCATTTTTGTTTGCTTTATTATCGATAAATAATCATTCGACAGCGATTTCTATAAAAGTGCTTCGCACAAATTTGCGATTTATTTTGCCATCGTATTAGCTTTCCCTCCCCCATATTTACCACATTAACAATTCATTAAATTCAGCTTTTACGTTTTTTTCATATTTCTCTTTTTGTATTATTTATTATACAAAAAAAAACTATTCAACAAAAATTACTATTTTGAACGAAATAAAATTTTCCTTTACTAACTGCTTTATGCGCTAATCATGAATTATCGATAAAAATTAACACACAACTGATAATTAAATTTTAGCTCAATAGCTATAATCTATAATACTTTTAGGAAAAAAAAATTATTTTAATAAATTTTGCGAAATTATTAAAAACCAAAGCGTTATTTTAGAATAAATACATTTGCAAAGTAAGCCTATTGTTGGTGACTTAAAGGTTTATTTCTTCGAAATATTATTTAATTCTGAAATATGAAATTATTGAAATATGAAATTCTGAAATTATTGGCAAATCACTGCATAAATTACTGTTTCCTCGGTTTCCAATAAGTATTTGGTAATTAAAATAAACGTTTTAGATTCGGCAAATCAACTCTTTTGCCAATCCCTTTATGCAAAAAATAGTCATTTTCTTTTTACGATTCTTCAAGACGGTCATTTTTTCTTCAGAATTTATTCTATCAGAAAAACTGTCAAACTACTATTTTACTTGTATGAAAGAATAAGCAAATAATTCCGTTAGAAAAATTTTTTTTGCTCAAATAATGGTTCTTTTTCTTCCAAAAGCATTCACCATTTCTTGCTGAGTTGATTTGATTCACCATCTGAGGTGAAATTCTTTCGTCAGATCCTTTGTTCATCCTTAATGATAAAGGACAGTGAACCAAGCCAAGTCCTTGAAATCAAGGCAATGCTTTTGTGGCCTAATATCCAGTCAAATCATTCATTTGTTTATATAATATAAACAAAAGTGGAAAAATATTTTGAAATATGCTAGAAGAAATTAATTGGTAATGGTTTTATTGCGATAATTTTTTTGGCGATAATTTTAGGATACCAAAAAATGGCAAGCAAAACAGACAAATGGCGAGCAGATATTCAAGGATTAAAAGCACTCGCAGTGATAAATCTATTCTTATTTCACATAAATCATAAATTATTCAGTAATGGATTCATTGCAATTGACATGTTTTTTGTTATCACTGGTTATCTTGCAAGAATGGCCTTGAATAATTCGCTTAATATTCGATACATTAAAAATTATGCTATTAAGAGAATTAAACGTATTATTTTGCCATATTATTCTATAATTTTATTGATAATTCATCTTCGCCTATTTTTCCTAAAAGGATCAACTGATTATTTATCATTTACTTTTCTAACGTGTAATATTATTCGAAACGAGTGCGTTTCTAAGGTATAAATTTTATTATTTATTAATATTACTATTTTGACTTTGTTGGTTTCACTAAATATTAGGATGAGATGAGATGACAAATTCTTCGTGGAAAATCGCTTGGATGATCGAAGTGCAAATGAATAGCCCTCAGCATTTTCAGGATTTTTTCATTTGGTTCGTAATATTTAAAAGAGGTGAATTATTTAGGAAATAAGAGTGACCCGATTTATTCAAATAATAATCGCATTTACAAGCGACTAACGCAAATAAAGTTGAAACATATTTTATAAGAAACAAGCAGAATTGTACGACAAATAAGTAAAAAATAAACAAATAAAAAAGTGAAAAATATTTTTTGGTGTATTTTTGAAAACATTTTTTAGTTCGAACATTTCTGGTTGTTGCCTATCGTTTTGCAATTTCAATTTATTGCACCATTTTTATTGCCTTTAAGGTTAGTGAAAATGCGTCAACTGATATTTGTTTTTACAATCTTATTTTCCTTCATTCTATATGTTTTTCAATATGAAGGAATATCTCAAAATTTATTAAAATATCTATGGCAATTTTTAATTGGATCTGCTGTATGTGAACTTGATGCGAGCCAGGATAATAATACTAAGCGAGGTTAAATTTCTGTGCGAATTCTCTCTCTCAGTGCTTTTTATCAGTTTAATATCAGTTTGATATCGAAGTTATCACTCGCAAATATAGTTTTTACATAAATATAACTTTTGATTTGTGAAAATAATTCTGCCTAAGAAATTGGATATGTATATTTGAATTTTTGAGTGAATTAATCCATTCTAAGCTGAAGTTGGCTGCTTTAAATCCTTCTTTTTGCTCTTCTTTTAACAGCATTTCTGATTTGGGATCAGTTTCCACTCTTTGTGACGGTACCATAAGCAAAATAACTACTATTTTATTTCAGTGCCCCCTTTTTTCCAAATTATTATCGACTTTTTTCTATTTAACTTACAGAAAAGAATGAAAAAAGCAGCTATTTAATAAAAATTATAACAATCGTATCGTTGTGCTTAATCTCGCCATTATCGTTGATAATCGAGATAAATAAGCAGTTTTATAAAATAATTTCTTCGTTTGCCACTGCTTGGTTATTAAAAGTGAAATGTTTATCATTTCTTAATCATCGGTATTTGATATTAATTGGCGATCATTCGTTTTCAATTTATTTGGCATATTGGACTTATATTTTATTGATCAAATGCGAAGAGAACTTTAGCAATTTTACTAATTTGCATGGTGAAAATTTCAATGTTATGTAAAAAAAAAAAAATATTTAAAAACTTTTATGAATATTATGAATTTTTTTAAAGCCTTTAATTCGTATAAAAATTAAAAAATTATACTTGAAAATTTTCCATTATTATTGTTTTGGAAAAAGCTTTCTGATGAATTTTATGGGTTTTTTTCATGCATTGAATGAAAGTGGCTAATCAATTTTATAAAATGCCATCCTTTTCAACAGAAAATTTTTCTTTTCGGTTTGGAATTAATGTCTTTCATGTAAATTTTTAGTTGCACAGATTCTCAGATCAGATCAGATCAGATCGTTTCCCAAAAAGCCACTTAGACCACCTGGGTTATTCAAGAAATGGTTCCATAGCACTACCTGGATTATTCAAAAAGCCATGATGGGTTGACATCAGTTGAAATGAAATCTTATTCTACCTGATTTAAATTAATTGATTTAGATTTCATTGATACCATATTATTTATACTACTTCTATCAACAATTATATATGAATTTTTGGAAAAGTTTTTCTTGCGATTTTCTATCAACGATTGCTTAATCTTCATTTTTATCACGTTGATATTGTCTTTCTTAATCTTTCATCTTAATCGAACACGCTTTACTAATACGATGCTCGATACGGGTTCGTTATTATTTACTGTGGAAATATTATTTGCCAACTTTATGATTCGTCTTCGCCAATGCTCATTTTTCGCAGAACTAAAGGACTGATTATGATAGTTCAGCGACCTCCGAACTTTTGTACTTTGAAGTCTTGTCGAGGTAATTAGCCATCATCTTAGACTAATTAGCTTAACCAATCCCTTTTTATATAGGTTTACCAACCATAGTGAAGCACACTTATGTTGTAAGTAAAAGCATCTTTTGCACCTTTATTAACTCATTAAATCGCCCCATCATCCCGCTTGCTTGTTTCCAAATAAACAAGTAAGGCAAAATGAATTTCGTTCCTTTCAATGATCAGTGTGAGGTCTCTTCTTGCTTGGATTTATTACCACTTATCGACAACCATTTAGTTTTACCTAAATTAATGTGGAAAGTCGTAAATCGCCTGCATATGGAAAGATTGCAACGGCCCACAATCTAGTGAGTAGTTCGGCGATAATTCGTGATCACAAAGGCCATTTCGAGAAATATATAATATTTTCCAAACAAGTTTGTGAAATGCATCTATAAACCAGGCCAAAGACATCTAATCTAATATATGAGAATATTTTCAGTTGAGCCGGTAACTATAGCCTCCGGACCAATGAATCCTCATAATGATACTACTCAAAATGATACTATATTGGCCGAGATAATCAAAATTAATCGACTAAACAAATTATCGAAGTTCCCAGCAATTCCCGGTTTGAAGATGATCGATGATTTACCAACTCTGTACAAACTTAAGAGAATTGGTGTAACTAATGCAAACGTTTCTTACTATAAAATAAGTTTTACTTTAAATAATGCCTTATTTTTACGATATAAATACAATAATGTAATAATTTTTATCGATGTAAGTGGAGACAAAAAGTCAAGAAAATCGTAAAATTGTTTATTTTAGGGCTCAGGAAATATTACTGTGGTTATACTTGGCAACAGCTTGGCACTGTCGGCTTTGCATTACATAGTTCCAGCTTTCGGTCTGCATAGAATCCGACACATCAAGTTATTGAGCGCATCTGGTTGTATACCAATTTATAATGTTGAAGCACCGAAAAATCGCCATCCGAAATGTCCGGAATTTTCCAAAGTTGCGATGGAAATTATTCAAAAAATGATGCCTGATGTTATCTTTTTAAATTTCATGTAGGTTCATGATAATATTTTTAAAATGAAAGAAAGTTACTTGGTTCATCGTGAACGAATATTTCGCTATTTTATAAGCTCTGTGGTGCATTGAGTCAAAAGCGAAGAGAGCAATCAAAACCTTAACTACTACGGTTAGTAAAGAACGTGCAGGCAGTATTTGGGCTCAAGAAAAGCAGAAGCAAGCGATTTATATTGGTTTTGATTTGATAGTGGATTGAAAAACTTAAAAACATCTCACGCTTGAACTGGTGCGAGCTATTGGAAAGAAAATGGGACGAAACAAGAAATGAAGCTTGTTTATAAGCATTAATTCAAGCCTATAAGGTTCCAATTAATTTTTAGGTTCATATGGTCACTTCGAGATCCGATAAAAAATATCTCAAACGATGTTCTTCTTTACAAATTACAAAAAACTATTGACGATATGATGAAATACACCAGAAGAATTGTATTCTCATATGATAATCCATATATGCCCGACAAGTAAATTTCTTGAAATATGGATAAATCTGAGTAGCTAGGGATATTTCAAAATGCTTCCGAGTAATACTTTGCTATAGAAAGTATTACTAGCCCAAACCAACTATAGTGAATGCGAAAGGGTGATTGTGAGGGAACAGTGCAGTTGCTGTGGTAAGTGAAGTATTAAACTTGAAGTCTTTTTGGACCATTCCGGTTTATTAATATTGCTTTTATCATTTATCACTTTTCGGCGTTAATTGAAATGCAATATAAATTTTGGCAAATTGCTCAAGATGAGCAATAAAAAAATTCCTCCTCCATTCAAAATTTCATCCCAACGATTAATTTTTATCTCTTAAGACAGCCCAAAATTAAGTTTTGCAGCCTACCGAGCCCGGATCTCATTTCCACCAGGCTCGCTAAAAGGTTGCCAATCGAAGATCTAAATATTCCTTTCAAAGAGTATTGGAATATCAGCCGAAATGCTTATAGGCGAATTAATGCGCTTCGATGTAAAAAGTGTGAATTTGTACATATTTATCGATGGTTATGCGATTCTAAGGTCGTTTTTCTTCTTCGCTTTTTCGACTTTCTCCTATTATTCAAATTTAGTTTCACCTATTTTCTGAAGTTAATTATCAATTATATGCCGATAAATTGTAACTGTACTTTTTAAATGCTTCTGATAACTCTGCAAATTATGGTATATTCAATAAGATAAGCAAAATTTCAGCACAAAATTCTATATTTTTTTTTACCATTGCTGGTTAGACTCGCTCCGCCGACTTGTCGCACTAGACAACTATGTCAGGAGGGAATCCATTGGCAATGTGCAGTGAGTCACCAGTATCACCGGGGTTTTTGGGCAGTCTTATTTCAGCGTAGAAGAACCTCATCATCCGCGTCCGAATTGAACAATAACCCACTGAGCCATTCTATTCATTAATATAAATGCATAAATATGACTAATTAAATTAAAATTTTTAAGAATAAATTTTATATTTAAAATATTTTTCAGATATGCCGTACTTATGATTCTGAAACGCTAATAACATACTACGCTGATAGAATGCATTTTGGAATGAATGGAATAAAATTTTTGATACCATTTTATAAGAAATTAATAGAGGAATTATACGCGAAAGAATATATTTGAATCTATTTTAGCAATCTTTCAGATTATTTATATTTATCGATATTATTTCATAAAAATATATCATTTTTTAAATTATATGCCATGACAGACAACTGTAAATTTGAGGTAATCATTCGCTTCAACGAATAAATAGAAAATTGATATTTTCTTCTTCTTCTAAAAGTTCTCACCATGGCTAGTTAGGCTAATTCTGCTGGCTATAAGGGTAAGACACTTCCAAGCTGTTTGATCCGATACCACATCTGGCACTAATAGTGGCCATTCCTTTTTCTATTGTCTAAGTCCATATATTGTTTGTCCATCTATACGTTTAAAACCATTCCTAATTGTATCAGAACATATAAGCCAGAAAACTAGCCATGTCATTATATCATACCACATAACATTTATCAAATTCTTTGCCAAATTTTCCAATTCTTTGTTTTGAAATTCTGGAAAAACCAGATAGTCACTTGAGGATAAATTTCATGATTGCAACCATAAACTTTCAGATCTTTTTAACAAATATAAAAGGTTGCAAATTAAAACGGTCCTCACCATTACTAGTTAAACTCGCTCCACTGGTTTGTCACATTGCGCGATAAGCCAGGGAGTCCCTTCACGAAAGCAATACAGATGAGTCGTCAGCATCACCCGGATTTTTGTGCAGGTTTACTCCTGAGTGGAATCGAACTTCAGCATCGGCGCTCCCCATTGAGCAACAACTCACTGAGCCATTCTATCCCTATTGAAGTTGATATAAAATACAACAAAGAGAAATAATTCAGAAAAAAATGAAATTATATAATTCGATTGAATATATTATAAGCATATAAACAGATAGTGAAATCAAGATTTCAAGCTTCTTGCAAATTTCGAATTTCTTCTTAATACTTTTAATACTTTTTAAAAAAATAACCAAAAATAGCGCTAAGTTCGCTAAGGTGTTACATATATATACATTTTACCATTTTATTAAATATTTCCCAGTTTTTCTTCATTTTTTACGACATTCCATATGAAAGATGGCAACTGCTGAATTACTTTGTAATAAAACGAATAGAACGAATTTTTAAAAAAGTTATTTAGAAATTAAATATTTCAAAAATATTTTCAAAATTATTTTTCAACTAATTCAATTATGTGCACCAATTTTATTTGAGTAAAAATTGAAGTAACTGAACTGTAAATGGGGGAGAAAAAAGAAAACACTCAAAAATTCGAATGATTTTTGAATAAAAAATGAATTTTCGAGGAAAAAAGGATATTAATAGAATTATTCCCTTTTCCCTGGCATGTCTTGAAGAATCACTAATGAAATGCTAGGTAACTAAGTGTGTCCAATAAACGAGTGACGCGGCTCGACCTCAACTTTAAACTAATGCTCTTGAAGTTCATTTCATTGGTACATAAGTAAATAGAACAGAAATCAGCAGGTGAAAAATGGATTAGATCAACAATCCGATGGAATGGCGTCAACTGAGATGCCTCCTATATAAGACCAATGAGTTCGGTTGAAGAAGCAGTGGCGACCGCACCAACTGAGAATGGCTGTTCCCTTTATATCTTTCTTCCCTTTTCGATTTATTTATATATTTTTTGTTTTCGATGTTTTTTAATCGTTTTTTATAGTGATAAATGATGGTACTCAGATCTTAGTAATTATAGGGAAAGTCAACAAACAATAGTTGCGATTATGTCTGGCCACTTCATTCGAATCCGCCTCCGGCTGAAATCTCGTGGAGTGGGGAATGTTATGCCGCCTTCTGCTTCATTGTCATGATTTTATTATTATTTCAAATAAAGTTTAACTTGCTATAATAATAATTTTTACAAGAGTAGGTGTAGTAGAGTAGAGAAGGTATTCAACAACGACAAATTTTTAATGATAAAGAAACTCGTATAATTTTTTAAGCATTTTTAAGCACTTTTTCATTACAGTGATAATTCATCAGTAACATCATCTCAAATGCTTTCCTTTCAGTTCGGCTGCCTCAAACTATTTGTAGGGCTTTTAACACCACTCACCTCACTTATGGCTTACTTCTTTAAACGTCCGTAAAATTTAACAATGCAATCGTAGTCTTAAATATGGAACCACAAGAAGCAAAACGATGACTGAGAAATCTCGAAGAAATATAATGATATGCATAGTAGGATGGGTGAGAGGAGGGTGAAATTATTAAGGGAGGACGACAATGCCATCACTGCGCTTATGAAAATATAATAGAATTTGAAGAAATAGAATTGCATGAATAAAAATATAAAAATGGAAGGAATAAAAAGATTGAAATATGGAAGGAATAAAACGAGTGGATATTTTTTTAAATTTTTACCAGTGAGTGATAAAAATATTCCTGAATTATTTCTCAATCTCTGAACTTAATTTTAATAAAAATTAAAAAACTATAAAAATTTACAACTTTTAATAAAATCTATTAGCTATGATAAATATTTCTCGAAAGTGGCACTGAAAAAATTTCTTACAAATTTTCTTACAAATGGGGCAAAAGTTTTTGAAAAAACTATGGCTTATTCTATAAAAATATTTCCATATTTATTGTATTATTTATATTTACATATATTTATTGTATTATTATTATATATTATATTATATTGCATTATTTATTTATAATTAATATACGATTAATTAATTAATTAACAATTAATTAAATAAATATTTAGTAAGCATTCAATATTTTTTTAATGAAAAAATCCATATATAAATATATATATTTTGGATAAAAATAAAACTGAACAAGAAAAGAATCTCAAATTTTTGCTCTATTTTAAATTTAATCAATTTAATCATTTAAATTTAATTTAATTTAATTTAATCAATTTAATCAATTTAAGACCGGCAAAATCAAAGACCAATTGGCAGATAGATGGTGTTTTGCAAATATTTAACAGAAAAGTGATAAATTTTGCAAATGCCTCAAACTGATAGATGTGATAACTGATGTGATAATAGTAAAAAAAAGAGTGAAATTGAGGAATTAAAGCATATTACTGTGGTTGAAAAAAAGATTGTGAATGAAATTAGTCAAGTAATCAATGAAAGTTAATTTAAGTTAATTTAAATTATTAAATTATTAATTAAATAATTTAATAATAATTTAAGTTAATTTAATAATTTAATCAATGAAAGTTTAATGGTAAAAATTTATGAAAATTTTTTTTTCGAAAATCCCCATTTTTTCCGCATTGCATAAAAAAATATTGTATGATAATTGTTTTATGCACGCGTTCAGTTAGAAAAGACAGAATTCACACAGAACTTTTTATTTGCTCAGCTTTTTTACAAATGAATTGTATATATTTTTAAAATGCCTATTTGTTTCGACAAAAATACTTTACATATTGCGCTTGCTATCTATTAAAAATTTTCTCGAAATATCCCATATTCTGGCGCTTTTCTAAAAAATATTCTAAATTTTGAACTTTTTTTTTTAAATAATTTTGTCGAATTGCCATTTAGAATTTACATATAATTCATTTATTGCAAAGAAATAATTATTAATCGAAAAATTTTTGAAATCTGCCTGTACGAATAGTTTTGAGGACGCTGAGCAATTTTGTATCATTTATGTGTCCATTCTTAAATAAGCCAAAAAAAAGGAGGAAAGTAAGCCAGGTGAAACTTTTCTACGTAGAAATGAATAAATGAAGAGTTAGGAGAAATATTGTTCACCAGTAACTTTAATTTGATGACGTTCATTTTTCAAGGCGCAAAACCGATGAAATGGCGAAAAGACATACAATGCTTAAGGGCTTTTGCAGTGATAAATCTGCTTTTATTTCTTACAAACAGCAAAATCTTCCCGAATGGATTTACTGGAACTTATATGTTTTTTGTTATTTCTGGTTATCTCGCAAGAATAAAGTTGGATCGCTCATTTGATATTCAAACTTTTAAAAATTATTCTATAAGGAGACTGAAGCGTATACTTCCAGCGTATTATTTTACAGCATTGTTAATAATAATTTTTACTTGGTTACATTCAAACAAATCAGCTAATAAATTATCTGCCAAAACTTTGAAAGCATTTATATCTATCATTGGTGGAAATTCTGGAATACAATATTATTTCGAACAGGTGTTTTTTAAATTAAGAAAGCGCCATTTTCGTTCGAATTATATTGGGGTCAAAGGCCAAGCAATATAATATGCTTTAATATATGCTTTACATCGATCAAAAAAATGATTATTTTTATCAGATAGGTTGAAATAAATGAAATAAAATAATATGTCGAAAATTGCGAAAAAGAAAAAATTTATGAAATTATTTTTTTAGGAAAAACAAACAGAAGATAATTCTTATGCATATTTATGGATTTTACCCATCATTTTACAATTTCAAATTTTTGCACCAATCTTGAGGCAAAAGATAATTCTGTTGACTTTTTTTATCACAGCATCATGCTCGTTACCTTTGAATATTTTTCATGATAAAATATTTTCACTATTTTCATACTTATGGCAATTTTTGATTGGATTTCTCGCTTATGAATTTGAAATTAGTTTTGGCAGTGCTGGTCGAGGTAACACATTTCCTTAACTTTTAAGATTTTTCCTGTGAAAATTTCCATTGTATGATTACTTGATAGTGAAAACTTCTGGAATATTACTGATATGTATACGTGAGAAACACCATTTAAGCAATAAAATTTAAACTATCGATAACTATCTTATGCTGCGTATGTCGACCGCTTAGTGGCAGATTATTACCACTGAGAATCAAAAATGGTTAGGGTGAATCTGACCGACACACCAGCTTCATTGAGTGGCAATATCTCGTTAATGGTGGCAATTCAATCCCGTAGTTTCTGATTCGGATCAGCGAAGAAAGTCTGACCAGTCGTGAGCATTCTTAGAAAAAATTCTGATGATATAATGTCCACTTGAATGGTTATTGCTCAGATTGTTTCGAGCATATTCGGCAACTATTTCAGCGCGCATAAGCTTGTAACTAGAAAATCCGACTGGTATTTAGGTTTCTCTATATTTCTATCACCAATTGGTTCTCTGTTTTATACTAATGACGATATTAGCTGAGCGATCCTAGCCAGAAAAGGTGAATGGTGATTACTCAAATGACTTATTTATCACCAACTTTATAATATCACTGGGTTTATTTAGTAAATCACTAAATTAATTTATGCAAGCAGTTACTTTTTTATAAGTCATTCTTTCTTTCTAAATAAAATTTTAAATAAATAATAAATAAATTTTGTTAATAGGTCAAGGCGAAGAAGGTTTCAATTGCATTGACTACCTGACGCTTGCTGCAATTTCACCATTATCGGCTCTTATCACAATTGATAAGCGCTTAAGTCAAATAATTGCTACTATTGCTATAAGCTGGATTTTAACGAGAAAATTGAAATGGACGATACTCTGCAATCGATCACTTGTATTTATTGGAGATCGATCATATTCAATTTATTTAACTTATTGGACTTATAGGTTATTTATCGGAGCAGTGAAAGACGATTCTTTTATTAATAGCAATTTCCATGGTAAAATTTAATTATGAAACGAAAAATATATGCGAAAAAGTAAAATGGGTTTTATTGCAAAAAAAGTTTGGAACCAATATTTTTTTTTTGTGAAGCTGCAAATGAGGAATTCAACGAAGAAATTTTTAGCTTTCCTCGATTAATCGAAGTCTATTTTCCCTCAGAGTAGTTTATCTCACTCATATTCGAAGAGAAGTGGTCGGCACACAATAGTAGTAAATCTGTGATCGGAAAGCGGATGGTGCTAGTGATCCAGTTAGTTTAGCCAAAAATATAAGTGGATTTTACCGCTTCAAGCCAATTAGTTATCCCAAAAAATCCTAATAACTAGCAGACTTAATAATTTTTTACCATTTTTATCACTCTTATCACTTATGAATATAAATTCTTTTCGAAATTTAGCTATTTAGATCTGCTCGATATGTCACTATACATATTACTGTTTTCAATGGTAATTCACGAATATGTCGAAAAATATTTTTTGCGTTCTTCTGGCAGTTATTGTTTTCTATTCATCATTTCGCTATTTATTTTAGCAAATGTAATAATATTAAAGCCAAATTCATATTCGAATGGAATAGAAATATTAGACTTGCATGGAGGTTAGGAAACTCGAAAACTCTTTTTCTTACGATTAGTTCTAAAGAATTTTTCGATAATTCCAAAACCAGAATCGTAACCGCGGTTTGAGTTAAGAAATAAGTATTAAGCGCTATGAGATTGCAGTATTTGTATTTGTCTCTGCCTTTGAATTATTTCCACAATTTTCCATTTCCTAAATTTTTATGCCATTTCAGCGGTTGATTTTTCAGAAATAGCTGAACCAAACAGTGTTACAGTGGCATTGTTTGCAAATAAAAAACGATTATTATACGAAGCAATTAAAATGAATGCATTGGCTACAAGAAAAAAATTTCCATCACCAAAATTTCATATGATTACTGATTCTATTGCAATTTCAAAACTGCAAAAAATCGGAGTGTTGAATCCAAATATTTCATATTATAATTTAAGCTTTTACTTGACTATAGTTGAAAACTGATTTCAGAGAGTTCAATAAATATTGCGGGAAAATTCATAAGTTCGCATTTTAGGGCACTGGAAAAACGAATATTATTATAATAGGCAATAGTTTCGCTCAAACCGCACTTCACTTTATAATTCCCGCGTTTGGACTATCAAGGATCGGATGGGCCAAATTATTCACGTCGGTGTGTTCACCAATTTATGATACTGATTCCGAATTCGATCGATGGCCAAAATGCCCTGAATTTGTGGAAGAAATAATGAAAATGACTTGTGAATCCAAGCCAGATGCTATTTTTTTGAATTTTTTGTATGTTTTGAGAAGTTTAATATCATTTTTTATGTAAAAAATATCATTTTTAATATCATTTTTTATGTAAAAAAATTGGAAGCTATAGAGAATAGATTTTAACAAATATAAATTTTTATTATAGAAACTTTCAATAAAAATGTGGACAGATTCGATAAAAAAATGGATTTATTTAAAATTCTGCTTATAACAATACTCACCATTCCTTGCCGCTAGGATTCGAGTCACTTGGTGATGCAAATACCAAAAAATTGATAGATGGGTTCCAAACACTTTCTAGGTTATTTCTAGAACAGTAGGCGTAGTCACATTAAAAGACCTGCGATGATCTTACTAAACCTTGCAGCATAAAATTCTACGATGTTGTGGTACCGAGTAATTGCAGGAAATTTTGTAATCCATTTTTAGGTTTAACTGGCCTCTCACAACACCTATCGCAAATTTATCGACAGATTTAGTCTTTCAAAAAATGCAACGAACTATTAACGATATGATGAAATGTGCCAAAAGAATCATATTCACTTATGGCCATCCTCACACATTCGACAGGTCTTTAATTTTCTTGAAATTCGTTTTTTTTGGTAAAATTTAAGGCGGCGAAGATTAACAGAGAGGTTTTCAGCATGCCGAGCACGCGAGTTCTCCACTCGAGGCTTTTAAAACGGCTACCAATCGACGATCTCCATATTTCCTATAAGAAATTCTTAAAAATTTCGAAAAACGCTCATCGTCGAATCAATGCCCTTCGATGCCACAAATGTGAATATGTATTCACCTATCGATGGATTTCGAAAAACGCTCATCGTCGAATCAATGCCCTTCGATGCCACAAATGTGAATATGTATTCACCTATCGATGGTTTTGTGACAACGAGGTTCCTTATTTTAATTCAGAATTTTTGTAAAATTCTTAAACAACATCTTCTTCCGATAGCAAATTTCTTAAAATCGAAGCATTTAAATTTTAAATTTAGAAAATTCTAAAATCCAACAATTAGCAAATGTGTTTTTCAAATGCGTTCTTTTTTTACGCGGTTTTTCGCGCACTATATTCATAAAACAATTCAGACTTGTCGCACTTACGATCGCAAAACACTTGCGGGCTATTACATGGACAACTTGCATTTGGGATTTTATGGAATAAAATTAGTGAAACCGTATTATAAGAAAATTGTCGATGAATTATATGCGAAAGAATATTTATAAAGCAATTTGAAAGAATAAATAAAAAATTTTTCGAAAAAAAATAAAATAAAATTATTTATTAAAATTCCCACAACCATTTATTTAAATTAAATTACTATTATTTTATTTTAAATTTTAAATTTTTAACAAATTTTCTTTTATTTTTTTCTAAAAGCATTCATCATTACCGATCAGACTCGCCCCGCTGGTATGTCACTCGCACTATAAAAAATATGTGAAAAAATTGTGGAAGTAGCTCAAAGACAGAGGCAAAGGCAAATATACTGCAAATGAAATCTCATAGCGCTTAATACTTATTTCTTAAATCAAACCGCGGTTACGATTCTGGTTTTGGAATTATCGAAAAATTCTTTAGAACTAATCGTAAGAAAAAGAGTTTTCGAGTTTCCTAACCTCCATGCAAGTCTAATATTTCTATTCCATTCGAATATGAATTTGGCTTTAATATTATTACATTTGCTAAAAATAAATAGCGAAATGATGAATAGAAAACAATAATTGCCAGAAGAACGCAAAAAATATTTTTCGACATATTCGTGAATTACCATTGAATATAGTAATATGTATAGTGACATATCGAGCAGATCTAAAATCTAAATAACTAAACTTCAAAAAGAATTTTAATGGTTATATTCATAAGTGATAAGAGTGATAAAAACGATAAGAACTCTGCTGGCGAGAACTTTGGGATAAGTAATTGGCTAGAAGCGGTTAAATTCACTTATATTTTTGGCTAAGCTGGCTGGATCACTGGCACCATTCGGTTAATCTGAAAGATTGCTAAAATAGGTTCAAATATATTTCTTTCATATAATTCCTCTATTAACTTCTTGTAAAATGGTATCAAAAATTTTATTCCATTCATTCCAAAATGCATTCTATCAGCGTAGTATGTTATTAGCGTTTCAGAATCATAAGTACGGCATATCTGAAAAATTTTTAAATATAAAATTTATTCTTAAAAATTTTAATTTAATTAGTCATATTTATGCATTAATATTAATGAATAGAATGGCTCAGCGGGTTATTGTTCAATTCGGACGCGGATGATGAGGTTCTTCTACGCTGAAATAAGACTGCCCAAAAACCCCGGTGATACTGGTG